CATGCCATGTAGTGTTAAAGATGCATATGAAAGCTGGAGTGCATGGAGCGTTGGTAAATCCATCAGGTTTATCTGGAGAATGGTATCTGCCTCATTTTTTTTGTCGTATTTGGACAAAAAGGAATCATAGATACTTTAATGGTATTTCAACTCCATTAAAGTTGAAACATGAGGAATTGCCGAACCAACGAAACAGTCCTTCTCCTACATTGGCATACATAGTTTCGGGTGCTTGACACTTGGACAAATGCCTTCTTGATTAACCAAACACTACTCCCAAAACATTTAATAACATACAACTCATTGGCCTGTTTTATAAATATTAAATTGTTAATTGTGTGGCTGTTTGGCCCATAATATCCTTTATCATCAAGTCATGAAACATAAACGTAAATGAAAGCTCTTAAAGTCATGTAAATATGAATATAAATAGAATGTTTTAAAAACTCATGGATAACATGAAGACACTTGGGTACCATTATTTCATGTAAGTATGACACATAGAGGGGAAGTTCTTGAATCTAAATCATGCTCGAGTCAATACAAGGTTCAATAACATAACGTCATTGAAGTTGAATCGTAGGAGACACTAGACCTGAGTATAGTAGAAGAGTCAGGACAGGGCCTCAATGTATTGTGAAGTGGAGGCCTAGTGGGAAGGTTTGCCATTTTGAATGTCTGAACTTGCATTGTGAAATGTAGCACACTCGGCAAAAGAGATGTCAATATCGTGGAATAGCACTCGTATGATAAGACATAAGATAGGCAATAAAGCTTATGAAGATAGGGACATAAAACATGACATGGTAACATAGGAAAACTAAGAAACATTTATATAGTTCATTATGCATAGTATCTTTTTTAATATTTGAGATGACATCATTATCTTTTTTAGTCTCTGCGATACTATCTGCCGCATCCGGGCCTTTGTGCTTAGCACTACAATGATATAGTGGTGGAATACTATCTGCTTGTTCGGGCCTTCGTGCTTAGCACGATCATAATATAATGGTGGAATACTATTTGTCGTATTCAAGCCCTTATGCTTAGCACAATCATAATATAAATTGGTCAAAACATGTATGTAGCCATTCTTGTGGATCACATTACATTAACCTCTGTGGATCAGTTTTTATTCATAGTCATAGCATTATTGAATAGGTATCATTTTGACATGGAGGCATGGTAAGTGTATAAAACAATTGTAAGACCAATAACATTATATGAGAGTGAATATTGGGCCTTTAAGGTCCAACATATCCACAAGATGAGTGTTGCAAAAATATAAATGTTAAGGTAAGTGTATGATTAGAAATGATGACATACAAGTAAAGTTACTGACTGAAGATGAAATGATAGAGGGTCATTTGACGTGGTTTGGTCATGTTTTATGTAGATCTGCAGATACACCGTTCTGTGGTGATATCAGAATGATTGAAGGTGTTAAAAAAGGGAGACAAGATAGCTCTAAAATAACATAGAAATTATCACGAAAGACCTACAATAAAAGAAAGTTGACTCGAAAAACGTACAATATCTTAAAATCATTACTAATTTAGTGAATTTGAACACAATGAAAGAAAAAGATTTATATAGGCAGTATCAACTAGTCAGGTTTAAGTCGTTAGTCATGCTGGTAAACTTACACTAGGTCCAACTTCTAAGAGTTTTTTAAATCTTGTTACGTATTTGTATTTCTTTGGAAAATATAGATAACCTGTTAGAGAACCTAAATTTGAATGAAATGGGTTCAGAAGGAGCAATACTGAAAATGAGGATTCATATAGCTGAGACCAACTAGCTTTGGATTGAACGCTAGTAGTTGGTGCTGTGAACTACCTGTGTGCCTTGCTATGCCATGACTGTCTTCATCATTTTGATGCTTGGATGTCAAAGATAATGTTCTAGTTCCAGTTTTCTACTAGTCAATGCTTAAAAGCTGTAGCAGTCTACATGTGTCTTGAGCATGGAACCGAGTATTACTGCTTACTTTCTTTCTATTAATTTCTTTGCAGGAAAAATCCGAAGTTGGTATTGGTTCTCTGAGTATGCATTGATGGTTTACAGCATGTCTAGGAATAGATTCTGTGAAAGAATTGGCAGACAGCATAAAAGCAATCATGGTAATGCATCACCAATATTACTTTTGCAAGGAAAAAACTTTTGGTAGTGGTCACATCTGTTTGATCTCGTGTTCTCCACTCTTTTATTTCTCATCCAAGGTCACCTTGCAGGAAATGTTTCCATTTTCACTATTGGTAACATCAGATATAGTCGTGCTCGGAGTATCTTTTACTGATTAATTTAGATAGATTCTGTGCATTGATATGCTTTTTTTTTAATGTTGTCTCTCGCATATGGTGTCAGTTATGTACGTAGTTGATCTGCAAAGAGGTGTTTATTATCAGAAATGCTATGATCCTGATTGCAGAGGTAAATGATGGTCTTGTTTCATTCATCAGTTGAACTTTTTTGGCTAAAGAACGATGACTTGTAGCCTTTAATGATGTTAAAAGGGTATCGATCTCCCTTGCGACCTGTCCCTGATAATGTTATACCTCATTCATCCATTTCCTTCAATCTGCCTGGACATAATATGGACGAGGAGCAGCCAACTGTAACCAGTGACACAAGCATTTTCAGCAGCTGCAAGAAAGAATGGTGGCTTGAAGCCGTAAGAGTTGCAGACAGCATTGAGAATGTACAGAAAGCATTGGATCTTACTGAGGTTGTTTATCTTCACTCCAACTTCTTGTGAATATTTTTCAAATATATTTTGTTTTGTTGTTTGTAATAGTAGCTATCCCACACAGGTGACTTTTCATCATATGCTTAGATATGTCATGAATCTCAGATCTTGGGGAAAATTGATATGATAGGATCTAAATGCGCGAAACCCAAACTTTAGGTGATACTGAAGCTCAGTAGCTGAGCAATAAAGGGTTATGTGTTTTCTCCCGTTCAGTTTAGTTCCCTTTTACTTCGTTTTGTTTTTGTAAATAGACAATATTGCAGTTTAGTTGTTCGCAGATGGTTAGTTGTTTGCCTGTGTTAGAACAGAAGACAGATTTTTGCAAGTTAACTTGCTAGTGGTAGGATTTATCAACATGGATGCAACTGTTGGATTGGGGGGTTAAAATGAGTCTCTAGTGGAATAATAGTGATGTATATTGTTTACTGAAACAAGAATTTATCTCTTCCTCTCTTACGCGAACTAGATGAATCTAACTAGCGTCTTCATTTTTGTTACTGAAAGCAGGACGAAACATGTGAAGAAGATGAGTGGTGGATGGCTGTTGAAGAGACTGCATACCAGACTGAGCTATCGTACTTTGGAAAAGCCTAGCCATTTCAGCCCTGGCAAATTGCTCAACTTGTAAACCTAGCCAGGTCCAACTAGTTGGTGTTACTGGTTTTCCCAACCACATCAACAAATTGTGTTTCTCCTGTTAATTGATGACTTCTCAGTTTTGTCTACTATGCTACAAATCAGTGCATGGTGGAGAGCTACATCCCAATTTCCAAGTCTATATATCTATTTAGCAGTGTTCATGGTTTGGGTAAAAATCGATCCAAATCGACTAAATAAATCAATTTTCTTTTGGTTCGGTTCACATTTTTAAAAATTGACAATCTTTGGTTTGATTTTTGCTTTGTTAAACAAAACTGAAGAAATATTCAAACCAAACTGACAAATTATATACATATTTTTTTATAATAATATATACAAAAAAGGGTCAATATTGCCTACACCACTCTTATACCTTCTGTTACAGGTATAAAAATTGTCTTCCGTAGAGATCACAAATTTCCTTTAAGAGTTAACAATTCAAATTTTTAGTGACTTGGTAAGTCAAGTAGGACTAATCCCTCCATCTAGGCATTGTCGACTGGGATTCACACTAAATTATAGGTCATTAATTCTGATTGATTTGTAAGCAGCCTAGTCCCAACCTGATTGAAAACCTTATTTGCGAACGCGACCACCACCACCAAACTTGAGAAATGATAAAAATTTGAGGGTCTAAATCACTTTTGAACACCTTAGAATCCGTGGAAGGCCACTAGGGGAAGGTTGGAGAACTTTTTTAAAAAAGAAGGAAAGGAGGTGATCTAAGATGGATTTGTAAGTATGCTGTTGGATATTTTAATCTCTAGCTAATTAAACAGTAGATGCACGTGAAAGTTAATTAGTTAAAAGAATATGATACTTTTCAATTCGGCTTGATTCGGAGTATGAATGTTAAACTAATTAATGTTCAATGTAAATTTGAATATAGATTTTTTAATATTTTTTTTTGAAATAAAATTATATATTTAGAAAATATATTAAAAACACTATTAGTCACATTAATTAACAATTCAAATATTTAGATATTATTTTAAAAAAATATTATTAAAAAATAGTATATCCTCTATCTTTATATGACTTACTTTTTTTTTAATACGTCTAAAAAAATGACACATTTCTATATTTAGTAACAAATTAACTTTTAAATATCAATTTTATCCTTACTTATAATCCTACAAACAAACAAAGTATTTGACTATTCAATTTAACAAATTTCGTTGTTCCTATCTCAAAATGTTATCATTTGTTGGTCGGTTTAGTTTAATCATTGATTTGGCTATTCATTGCCAAACCAAGTTGGTCATGATTCCCTTTTTCTTTTTGAGATCCGAGCTAAAACATAATTAAAGGGGAACAATATCAAAATATCTGATATTTACATTAAAGTGTGATTAAATTTGAATTCACTTTAATCGTCTTGAGGAATAAAGCGTCCCTAAAAAGGCAAAATTTCAAAAAGATAAAAAGCACAACGATATCAATGAACGGCAGCGGTTCTCACCAAACTCATAAATCATTTAAACACCAAAACATAAATGTACAGCTGCAAACCAAAAACTAAAAAAAAACAAAAAACAAAACAAAAGAAAGAAAGAGCAATATATTGCTTTTTTCAAAGGAGAGCACTTAGACAATTCACTTTGAGTACTTCTTTATTACGTACAAAAAAAAAGGGAGCAAGTGGATTTTTAGACCCAACATAAATTCAAACAACGTACAAATCATTAATTTAGAATTTAGAAATCGCCAGATAGAGGTGCATGTTCATGGTTCATGAACACATTACTGTAGATAAGACCAGCTAACCCACCACCAACAAGTGGTCCAACCCAGTAAATCCAAATACCAGCAAAGTTTCCACTAACCACAGCAGGTCCAAATGAACGGGCTGGGTTCATTGAACCGCCAGAGAACGGGCCTGCAGCTAAAATATTAGCACCAACAATGAAACCAATAGCAATGGGTGCAATTGTACCCAATGCACCCTTCTTCGGGTCAGCTGCTGTGGCGTACACTGTGTACACCAAAGCAAATGTAATGATTATTTCCATCACCACTCCTTCAGCAGCTCCTACTCCAGCAGCCACACCGTGGATTGGAACCGCCTGATAAACAAAAGTTAATGAAAAAAAATTCATGATTCACCAACTTAAATAATATGCAAAAACTTACCATTCCTCCGGTGACAACTTTGAGGAGGTAAGAAGCAACAATGGCACCCAAAAGTTGAGCAATCCAGTAAAAGAGACCGGTGAGAACGGTAATTTGGCCACCAAGAGCCAATCCGAAAGTGACAGCAGGGTTTACGTGACCACCGGAGATATTAGCACTAATGGCAACTGCCACGAAGAGCGCGAACCCATGGCAAACTGCAACAGCTACAAGCCCAGACGGATCAAGAGCAGCATCAGCTGTCACCTTGTCTGCATCGAATACAAAATTTAGATAATAAAGACGGATCCAAAATTTATAACTTTTAAATTGAATGACCAAAGTAACAACAATGTATCATTAACAATAACATTTTTGTAAAAGGTGAACTTTAGGAGCAAACTATACGAATTTAATATCGTCACCTAAAAAGCAACTATACTTAACTATGCCTCTAATAAGTGAAATTAGCAATAACTTAATTATATTACATGTTACGCCATGCTAAAATATACTGATAATATAATACTATGAGTGCGTAAATTAAGGAGGAAGATTGAGTTTTATTAACTGTAAGCAATAGTGGAACCAACTCCGGCGAAGACAAAGAGTAAAGTAGAGATGAATTCAGCAATGTAGGCCTTAATAGACCCTAAGCTGAATGAATCATCGAATCGTCCAAAAGCTATGCAAGGCATTTTTAAGGAACGTTTATTAAATTTTAAATGCTAAAAAAGCTTATAGGAAAATAAAACACTAGGAAAATGCTAGCTACATGCTTGCTCTCAAATGACAATATAGAAGCTCTTTCTTTGTCACATATATATACTGGGAAATACACAAATATAATATAAAGTTATTTAAGAAAACATAATTTGTTTTTGTTTATCACTTCTCTTCACGTAGTTTAGATAAGGGAATAAAGTAAGTGCATATGTGGCAACGCATATCCAATCAATTTTTTTGTTATAAATATTCCTAGCTGGCATTAACATGTTTTTAATGGAAGTGTCTGGAATAATATAGGCAATAATAATAATATATGCATGTGAAGTGTAGGTCCATTGTGATAGAAAAGTAATGATTAGAAAATGGAGTTGATAGGGGGCAATTTTTTTTTTAATTTTCCGTCTACTGATTGATACTCACATTGGAGTTCGATTAAATTTATATTAACATTGGAAAATTCCATATTAAAGATAAAACGCTTCCTAACAAAGACAACTTTGTACTCAAAAGAATTCGAACCTAAGATCTCTAATTAAAAGTAAAAAATACTTAACACTCCATCACAATTTTTATCAATGATAGGGGAAATTTATTAATGGAAGGTTTGGTCCACAAAGTGCGCCTGACCGACCATGAACAAAGAGAATGCTAGAATTGGGTTGTTTGATCTGCCCTTTTGGATTTATTCAAATTGTGTGGATAAGAATTGAGCTGGCCTTAATTAGTCTTCTCTTTATTAGCTTAATTAATGAATTAGACGTTCATATCATATATATTAATTCTATTCATATAGTTTTACATAATTATATATCTTGCTACTAATTAAAAGTTGCTTACAACATATCGAAGAAGATACATAAATTTTTACTACCAGATACACTAAAATAGGGAAAAAAGCAAGATAGATGGGGAGGCGAGTGAGATAATTATATATCTCAGATAAATGCAAATCACACTAGATATATGTAATTGACATGATTCACATTTATCTGAAGTACCAGATACATACGAGAGTGGTGAACGAGATAAGAGTGAGGCGAGAAAGGTGAACGAGATTTGTTATGTATCTAGATACATGTGAATCCACTTGAATATAGTGTATCTAGAATAAATTATAGCTAATTTTGATCCTATGTATCCCGAGATACATGTATCTGGATGTATCTGGACACACTAAAATCTGGTAAAATTCGTAATATTGCAAATTAAAGTGTAACTAAGTAATTAGCTTCTAAACTAGTGGGATTTCTGTAAGTTTTCCTAAGATAATTAGGGGTCGTTTCGTAGATGGTTAGCGTTATGCATATACTAGTAAAGTAGAAGTCAACTATGAGTAAATCTATGTATTATTTTATGCATGTGTTAGTTATACATATATTAGTTATTCCACCTTGTATCCTGCATAAAATAATACATATATTTACTCATAACTTATACATGTATTAATTTTGTAAGTTTCTAAATTGTCACCAAATTAAACGTCATAGTAAGTATATACATAAATAGCTTATTTCCTATCAATAGTCAATAGTCGGAATAAAAAGGAACATATTTAATTGACATTCAGAATTAGGGATGACAATAGGGCAGTGCGGAGCAGGGCCGAGACGGGTTGAGTTTAAACCGCAAAAAATTAAATCCCTCTGCTCCGCTCTACAAAATAGTTTTTTTTGAAATTTTATTTTCAACCCGCCTCACTCCGTCCCACATAGACTCACCCCATCCCTCCCCACACAGATCTGCCCCACATAATTTTTTTAATATTTTCTTTTTCTAGTTAAGTTTGATACTAAAAATAAAATTCATAAAATAAATTTATTTTTTCATTACGTTATATTAATTTATAGATAATGACTTAAAATTTATTTTTTGAATGTCAATTAGGAAGCATGTAAGAAATTGTTTTAGTTTTGATTGAACCATTTTCATTTACTATCTTGAATATTTTAGCAACTTTGAAGAAACTATCTTAATAGATAATGTTCTATCACTCTTATAATATGTAAAAAGTTAAAATTAAGTTTGAAACCGCATAGACCCGCAACTCTCCCCACCCCTCATTAGTTTTTTAAAAACTCACTTCAACCCGCCCCGAACAACCTTAAACCTGCCCCACATAGCCTTAAATCTGCATCCGCCCCGCATAGCATTATACCTGCCCTGCATAACCTTAAACCCGCCTCGTCCATTGCTATCTCTATTCAAAATTCATCCTATATCTTATCTGTCTCTAATTAATAATAGTACCTACAGATTTAGGGGTGTACATGAACAAGTTGGTTAGAGTTTTTCAAATATCAAATCAAATTATTTGTCGAATTTTAAATCTATAAACCAAATTAAATTAATAAAATTCAAATTTTTCTATCTCGAGGTTTTTCGGGGTTTTTTTTTTCTGGCTTCTAGTTTTTTTTCAGGTTCCGTTTTCTTTCAGGGTTTTTTCAATAAAGTATTTGTATAAATATATAATTAACTTGTACTTGAGGTATTTCTTTAGTCCTAGCAAAATATAACTATCTAAGATGTTTCTTAAGAAAATAACACAAAATATGAGATGAGAAATGACACTAAACTATTCAACAAAAAATAATAATGAAATCACATAAAACAAATATTGCAAATTAATAAGTCATAATGAAAATGGTCATAATTTAAAAGTACTAAATCATGCTAAAATAAGTCTAATAAATATTGATTAGATGAATAAATATTTTTAAAAAAATTAAAATTAGATTATGTATTTTAATTGTAAAATCCAATGTAAAACTAAAGAAAAAAAATTCATCATTATTGTCATTTTTAGTGTTGAATTAATTTTTTTTGTTAGCATTAGTATTAATTTGATTTTGATTTGAACTTATTAGAGTTATTAACATTTATGGACTACAACTTTTATTGGACCATTCAAAATTCTAAGTTTTAAACTTGAAATAATATGTTAAAAGATAATAACTATGAAAAAGTATAAGAAATATTTAGAAATTATATCAAAGTAATATTTTTTATGTATACAGTAAATTTTTTAAAATTATATATATAATGTCGGGTTATTTGGTCTCGGATTGATTTTTTTTAGTTAAAATCAATTCAACCCAAATATATTCGAATTTTTTATTCAATATTAAACCAAGTCAAACAAAATAACTACTCAAATGTCTTTTCTAATTTGGCTTGATTTTTTATTCGATTTTATTCCGCCCTAGATAAATTATATGCGTTTTAGTTTATATAACAAGGCACTGAATCTTAATCACCCACACTTATAATTTGATGATATAGATGAGAATATCTCATTCAATAAGTGGGTTCAATTCTCATTCTCATATTTTCCATTTCCCTTTTTTTTGTTAAAAAAAAGAAGTCAAACCTTAAGCAAGCAACAATAAACTACATTTTTTTTTTTTTGTTTTACAACAAATTGAAAAGGCATATAGTTTCATAGTAATGATACCTTCAATTTGTCAAGGTGAAAAGCAGGATTGATGACTCTTTTATGTTTGGCCCATTTATCAGCTTCATAGCCAGCAAGCCCATTTGTTGCTAATCTAGTTAGTGGTAGGGATAGACGTTCGATTCTTCAGTTTGATTTTATTAAACTTTGATTTACTTCTTTGATTTTTTGTTATGAAAAAGTGTGCATCGAATATTGAATCAAACTAATTTGGTTTGATTCAGTTTTGTTTAGTTTGACGTTTTTAAAATAATTTTTTCGATGAAAATGAAAATAAAATGAGGATAAAATCAAAGTATAAGACACTTAAAAATTTAAAATCATGCTAAATGATGATGTGTCTCACCATGAAACACTTATTGTGCTTAAAAGATTATATTTGTCTTTGTCAAGAATAAAGTGCCACCAACTATTACTCGAGGAAAACAGGGACGGACACATGTTCCTTTACATGATGTACACCGACAAAAATACATTTGAATTCCTCTTGAAAATTAATATTTGAAGTTAATTATCTGAATTGTAAATCTATTACTACTTCGATTTGTTCATGAATAGTTTGATTGCTAGTTGACTTGTCTTTTTGGTCTATATATATATTAATACTCTTATTTAGAAGTGAGACTTGGATTGGGACTAACACAGCTTTAAGAAGTGATACCAAAAGCAGTTCAAGTTGTACTATAATATCAAAAGCATTTTTTTTTACCCTTATATTACCCTTATATATAAGCCAACAAGATAGAGTACCAACACAACTTTAGAAAGTTGTGCCAATTGCATTGAAATTGTACTACACCATTTGAGTCTAATTCACTAGAAAATAAACACGTGTACTACACGTGTCCTTCTACCTTTTTCCAGTTTTCAATTATCTTGCTTTGGTTCTTTCTTTGTTCAAATTTTTCTATGTTTTATTCTCCTCATTCACACACTTGCCGAAGAAGGAGAAGAAGAACTTAGAGATGGAGGAAGAGCAATTGATGGAAAATTAGAGAAGAGTGATTCGATTCCGAATTGATGCATCAATTTGGTGATGAAATTTCTTATTTGACTACCGAAATTGGAGGTAATTTTTCATTCTAATTATAAATTTATGGGGGTTTCCTTCTAATTTTTATCTCTAGATTTAATTTGCATTTGCAGAACAAATTGCATACATTTTTTGATGTGATAATGAGGCAAACACATGCTTTAAAGTTATGAAGATATAGACTTCATCAAAAGCTCTTCTCGCAATTCTCAAAATTTTGTATCTCAATCTCTTATCGTGATTATATTTTCTTATTTTTGGTGAGTTCTATCACCCTTTGAGAAATATAGGAATAATAAATAAATAAATAAATAAATGCAATAAATTGGTTCTTTATTAGCAAATATAAAGGACAGATTTTGAATCTGACAAATATAGATGCAATAAATTTTTGATTTGAATGTATAATCTTTGCATGTGTATCTTTGGGATTTTAAACAAAGTTCTCTGATTTTTCATTCAATCGTGTGTTCAAAATTCATTGTGTGTTTTGATTTTGTAGCTTTCATCATTGCTCAAATTGATTTTTTCTTTCTCCTTCTTGGTTTCTCAGCTTGAGTTGCATGTCAGTACTTACCTTCGCTCT